TGTTATTTCTCAGTACCCTTTCTTCCACATTTTTGAAATGCAGCAGGCAGCCCCAAACCATTGCACGTTTACTCAGAAGATCCCACTAAATTTAATGCGTGATGTTCCTCTTTGTAAACATATAGTTGCAGCCTCTGTGTTGTTCTATGCTCAGTTCCTTGCAAATGTCCCTCCTTGATGCCTCTTGCTTTCCTTATTACTCATCGTCACGCTCCTGCCTTCCTTCGCTTCCTTTCTAGCTTTGTATCTTCTTCCTCCCACGCTTTCTTTATGCTTCTTGTTCTATCTGGATGGTGTGCAATTGCACATAGTATTGTCATGAAGTCTTAGGGATTTACCCACTCAAACAGAGTCAGGACGTTATCACACAGGGCTCAATCCAAACAGAATCCAAACGAAATGGCGAACGAATCTGGATTATTTGCCCGTGTTTCCACACGACGTTGCACAGAACCCCGACAGAAAGTGGAAAGAACCGAGATCTTTTGAATTTCGGTTTCTTCAGGAGTTGCAATTGCGCGACGGGAATCATTTTGCATTTACCGTAGGTCTGATAACCAAATACGTATTGTGGCGCATTTCCCCGCTGTTGCCATGGTTCCAGCGAGCATTCCTCTCTCTGCGCATGTGCAGGAGGCTCATTTCGGCTACATTTACGGGGTTTTTTTTCTTGTGTGTGGACGTTCGATACACTTACTGTAAATGCGCAATGAAGGTAATGACGTATGCGGAAACAAGGGTTATTTCCCGTTTATTTTTGGGATGCCTCATTTCCACTTTTATTTCCGCTTTCTGGCTCACGTGTGATAACGTCCTCAGTCTCTACCTTTCCAAGGTAATTCTCACCTCCGCTTGAAATAAAGTGTGCTTTTTCTCATAAAGTCGGCCCACACATTGCAATTCTCATAGGAGTTTATCACAAGGGAGGGAATCGGCCAAATCTTGTGCAGAAATGGGATTTAAATCCACAAAAGCGGGATCGTTTTCAGATGCATTGAGCATAATCCGAAATTAATCCGCACAGAAGGTGGGCAAATCATGCAAAAGCAGGACCGTTTTCAGACGCATTGAGCATTAATCTGTAATTAATCCACACAGAAAGTGGGCAAATCCCACAAAAATGGGATTGTTTTCAGACACATTGGGGGCAGTTAATTTGACACTTTTCTCCCAATATAGGGACTCAAGGCAGCGAACGGCAAGTTTAAAACAATGCGATTCAAAAACAATACAAAAGCATTAAAAGGTATAAATATAAAAGTACTGCGCATGTGCAAACGAGTCACGGCCGCCATTTTTGCAAACAAAATGGCAGCCGTGATGCACGCGCGGCGGCAGCAGGACGGTTGGCGGTGGTTCGCGGGCCGGGTGTGGCCCGCGGGACGTAGGTTGCCGACCCCTGCCCTAAAGCAACCTTATCATGGGGTTTTCTTGGCAAGATTTGTTCAGAGGAGGTTTGCCATTGCCTTCCCTTGAAGCTGAGAGAGTGTGACTTGCTCATACTTGGTTTTATGACTGACCTGGGACTCAAACCCTGGTCTCCAAAGTCATCGTCCAACACTCAAACCACTACACCACACTGGCTCTCAACATATATTGTAGTGAAATATTTTTAAATTTTAATGCATGATTGATTTATGGTAACTTTTAAAATTGTTTTCATTTTTTAAAAATAAATTTTATATTTATACCTTTTAATGCTTTTGTATTGTTTCCGAATCGGATTGTTTCAAACTTGCGGTTCGCTGCCTTGAGTCCCTGTATTGGGAGAAAGGTGGCATATAAGTTGTTGTTATCATTATATTAATATACAATATAATATATTAATATATAAAATTCTTATTCTTATTCTGCACATGCTTACAGGTAATATATAATATATTAATTTTTTATTATTATTATTATTATTATTATTATTATTCTGTAAATGTTTACAGGTAAACTGTATGCTAGCCATACTGACTAGGCTTTCTTGGCTCTTTCTTGGCTTTTTCTCTTAAAGACAGTTGTTAATAACAGAACCTGGAAAAGTTACTTTCAACACCTGAGGTTCCTTGGGGGAATCCCAGGAGTTAGAAACCAATATAGGAACTTGCCAAAGCTCTGGTTAAGGGTTAACATGAATTTCCCACCTGTGTTTTCACTTCTCTTTTTCACTAATACGATCGAATGGTTCCAGGAAATTACAGCGGCGGTTTCCCACTGAGATAAAAGTAGGGATAATATTGTTCTAAATGCCTGAAATATACCAGATCAGAAAGAAGGAAAGAAAGAAAGAAAGGCTAATGTAATACATATACTTATATTTACTTCTGTTGGGCCTAAATACCATAAAGATGACAAATGGTGTAGTGGTTTGAGCATTGGACTGTGAAGATGATCACGCCATGGCCAATACAGCAACAATTGTGATTTTGGATGGTAGCACAACAGTAGTGCTATAGCGATAGTTATTTTCACACGACCGTGCCGCTGTGAGGCATCGGCGGCATAAAACCTAATTGCGCAACTGCGTTCCGCACACATGCATGAATGAATCGCTATTACATTGTGGGTGATCGTTTTGCGCACAAAACGATCACCCACAATGTAATAGCGATTCATTCATGCATGTGTGCGGAACGCAACTGCGCAATTAATTAGGTTTTATGCCGCCGATGCTTCACAGCTGCACATATGTGTGACATTAAATGTTTCCATCAAGCACAGAATAAAAATTAAAGAAAAAAAATATTTTTAAAAACTTTACATTAATTCTATCCGGTTGCAAACAAAATCAAAAACCCCGCACTCACAACAAGACTGAAATCCACTCCGGAAACAGTCCTAGCAATGTGAACGAATTGCCTCTGCCGAAATGCAGTGTGCGTAAGTGTCCCTGGTTGCTCCCACAATAGCGTGATTGAAGCGCGTTTGCTTTTTGCACTCACGAAATCGCGCTTCAGTCGTGCTATTGGAAACTCATTCTTGGCAGTTCCCCATGAATGAGTTGTTGCCAGAGCATGCCGGGTTCTTCGCCAGAGCAGTCCGGGACGAGTGCGATGTCATACGAAAAGGTTTGATGCGATTGCGCGATTTTCCCAGGATAATCCCTTTTACTCCCGGTTTTTCCCCTCGTCTAAAAATCTCTATGACTCTGGAGACCAGGGTTTGAATCCTGGCTCAGCCATGACAACCCACTGGGAGACCTTGGGCAAGTCACACTCTCTCAGCCCCCTCTGAAGAAACGTGCCAAGAAAACCCCATGATAGGATCACCTTAGGGTCGCCATAAATTAGAAACAACTTGTAGGCACACAACACCCGCCATTGTTTAGCGCTGAGCTGCTATTTTAAAGAATTGTATGTTTTTACTCACTTGGTATTTTAATTTTGCATTAGTTTAATATATTTTTAAGGGGTGGGTGGGAATGGGTTATTGGATCTTGTTTTAACTTGTTGCGATGTGCGCGATTTTCCCAGGATAATCCCTTTTACTCCGGGTTTTTCCCCTCGTCTAAAAATCTCTATGACTCTGGAGAGCAGAGTTCGAATCCTGGCTCAGCCATAACAACCCACTGGGAGACCTTGGGCAAGTCACACTCTCTCAGCCCCCTCTGAAGAAACGTGCCAAGAAAACCCCATGATAGGTTCACCTTATGGTCGCCATAAATTAGAAACAATTTGTAGGCACACAACACCCGCCATTGTTTAGCGCTGAGCTGCTATTTTAAAGAATTGTATGTTTTTACTCACTTGGTATTTTAATTTTGCATTAGTTTAATATATTTTTAAGGGGTGGGTGGGAATGGGTTATTGGATCTTGTTTTAACTTGTTGCGATGTTTTTAACTTGTTTGTAATGAAATTTATTACAGTCAATGACCAGCATTTAACTTGTTGTACACCGCCCCAATTGCACTGCAGAGAAGCAGGATAAAAATTATTATTATTATTATTATTATTATTATTATTATTATTATTATTATTATTATTATTATTAACAACAACAACAAACAAACAAACAACAAACCAGATCTGGTCTGATTTTGGAAGCGAAGCAGCATCAGTCCTGGTTAATAGTTGGCTAGGAGACCGCCAATGAATACCAAGTATTCTAGGCTATGGGCTTTTTTGCACTTTTGATAATTTCCATCAAATTGACTTTGACCCATGGCGACCCTATATATGAGCCTATGTATGACCCTTTGTATAGCTTTCTTCACTGTCCAACTCTCATAACCATACATCGAAATGGGAATGGCATGGACAATCCTAACTTTGGTATTTAATGCTATATTTACACTTCAGGATCTTGTCTAGTTCCTTCACAGCTGTTCTATGCTATTATCCCACTTTAAGTGCTGTGGCTGTATCCTGTAGACTCCTGGGATTTGTAGTTTGGTGAGGCATTCGAGGAACTGGCAGAGAATTCTAAAGACTCTTCTCTAAACTGTAAATCCCAGGATTTCATAAGATAGAACTGCAGCAATTAAAGTGAAGCACTGGTCCCAAACACACTGCAGAAATAATCCAGTCTGAGACCACTTTAACGGCCCAGGCCCAATGCTAGGAAATTCTGGGAACTGTACTTTTGAGAGACATTGAGCCTTCTCTGTCAGAGAGCTCTGGTGCCGCAATAAACTACAGTTCCCATGATTCCCTAGCACTGAGTCAGGGCAGCTAAAGTGGTCTCAAACTGATTATTTCTGCTGTGTGTTTTGGACCATTGTGTCGTAACTGTGCAATGTGAAAAGGCCACAAGATTTCAGAGGAAGGAACTAGCCAAACCACCTCTGAGCATTCCTTGCCTAAGAAAACCTTATGAAATTCATGGGGTTGCCATAAATCAACTTGAAGGCATATTTGTTGTTGATGAGTGCCTTCAAGTCATTTCCGAGTTATGGAGACCCTAAAGTGGGACTATCACGGGGTTTTTCTGGCAAGATTTGTTCAGAGGGGGTTTGCCAGTGCCATCTTCTGAGGCTGAGAGAGTGTGACTTGCCCTAGGCTGCATCCTTTGTGGCCAAGTAGGGAATTGAACCCTGATCTCCAGAGTCCCAGTCTAATGCTCAAACCACTACGCTTTACACACACTTTTGTTTGTACTTATCTTGAACTGCCAATTTTTGTTTATTAGCTTCTGCTTAGCATGGTTTAGTGGTTTGATGTTGGACTAGAAGTCGACTCTGGGAGAGCAGAGTTCGAATCTTCGCTTGGCCATTGAAACATGATGGGTGGCATTGGGTAAGTCACACTTTCTCAGCCTCAGAAGAAGGCAAAGAAGGCAAAATCTTGTCAAGAAAACCATGTGAAAGGGGCGCCATAAATTGGAAATGACTTGAAGACACCCAACACTCATAATAATAATAATAATTTATTATTATTATTATTATTATTATTATTATTATTATTATTATTATTATTATTATTATTATTATTATTAATATCCCGCTTATTGGCAACAATCCTGTCCCTTCAAGGGTAGTGCGATGTGTCAGCTGTAAAGGATGTTGAAATGTGGATTCTTACCCAAGTAAAAAAATTGGCAGCTGCTGGCTCTTTTTAGTGGAATGAGCCCTAAAAGGCACAGGAACAGACAGAGCTGATTCCTTCTGGTAAGCTGGCAACTTTACTTTCATTCCTTTCATTCTTGCTGGGCAAAGCTGTGTGGTGTTTAAAAAAATAATAATTATAGTTACTATTGCTCTTGAAAAGGATTGATGCAAATCTTTGCTTCATTCCTTTTTTATTTTTTATTTTTTTGCATGCAAGAATAAATTATTTTAAAGTTCCCTTTCCTCCCCTGCTGGGCAAGATTTATGAGGGTTTTTAGGCACATTGTTACATGCCTTCAAGTTGTTTCTGACTAATGGTGACCCTAAGACAAACCTATCATAGGGTTTTCTTGTCAAGATTTATCGAGGATTTGCCATTGCCTTCCTCTGAGGCTGAGAGAGTGTGACCTTCCACAAGGTCAACCAGTGGGTTCCCATGGACTCCAGATTCAAACACTGGAGTCCTAGGATGATTCTATACTACAGAAATAATGAGTTTGACACCACTTTATCTGCCATGGTGCCACCCTATAGACTCCTGGGATTTGTAGCTTTGTGAGGCACCAACCCCCTTTGGCTAAAGACATGGTAAAACTACAAATCCAAGGATTCCACAGGCTGGAGCTGCAAGCACTTAAAGTGGTGTAAAACTACATTATTTCTACAGTGTAGCTGAACCCTGCCTCGTCTAGCAGTCAAACTACTACACTGGCTCTTTTTTTTTGGTGCATCATTTCTTTAACTCATCGAGGCCATTTAATAATTTCTTTAACTCATCAAGGCCATTTAATAATAATAATAATAATAATACAGTGAAACATACATGGTCGATATACAGTAGCTTTACAATTTAGAGCAGGGGTAGGCAACCTGTCCCCTTTAAGGGCCGAGGGACTTCAGCTCCCAGAAGCCTCAGCCATGTTGGCCAATAGTCCCATGTTGGCCAATAGCTCCTGGGATTCTGGGAGCTGAAGTCTCTCGGCCCTTAAAGGGGAAAGGTTGCCTTCCCCTGATTTAGAGGCTTGATAACTTGTACCAATAATAATCCCTTGTGAAAATAGATCCTGTTTTCTATAGGAAAAAATGATTCACCCCAATAAAAAAGTTCCAAACTGCATATATATATATATATATATATATATATATATATATATATATATATTGTGTGTGTGTGTGTGTGTATACACATATATATATTATCTTGCAACTGTTGCCTGTTTTATCAATGGGATGTCTCACCATGTTGAGAGATCCTTCTGGTTGAGAAGGAGAAAAATTGTGCACCTTTTTCACTGTCCCTGGTGAGAAGACTGATGCGCCCTGTGTGTATACGGACAGGAGTGATATGATTTATTAATAGGACGCAGACGTGGGGATTTAACTGGAGCGTGTTATCTTCCCTTCCTGTACGCATGCTCGCACACACGGCTGCATTTTCTTTCCGAAAGCAGGAAGTGCTAGACCTCTGGACTAAGGCTGTGAATGTCACGGTATCTGTTTTGTTTCTTTCTTCTCTCACATAGCCGGTGAAAGAAAACCAAACCATCTCTACTATCTTCTGGCTTGAGAGCAGACTGGGAGCAAGTCAAGAAAATGGAGCACAAAATGGATGCAACGGAGGAAGGCAAGATGCTACCGTGTGATGACCCCGTTGCTAGAACCAGGGGAGAATGGGTAAGAGGCATACTTCTTTGAGCAAGTAAGGGGGTAATGGGGTGGCCCTCCAGATCAGTTGTTGGATTGCAGTTCCCAGCATTCCTCACAGCAGGCTGTGTTGGCCACGGCTGCTGGGAGGTACAGTCCAACCACATTTGGAGGGCTGCAGTATTCTTACCCCAGTCTCCAAGGCTGAAAGGAGGCCAACATGAGCTCCAAACTAGATGTTACCTTTCTTAGGGAGTTTATCACACGGGATGAATCCCATGCAGAAACTAGATTTAAAGTGAAAACAATCTGCTTTTGCGGGTTGTTTTTCACATGACGTTCGGGGTTAACCCGAACAGAAAGTAGACAAAACCCACAATTGTGGGTTGTTTTTCAGACAACATTTGTGTGTGAAAGAGAAATAACGTGAAAATAACCCAAACAGAAAGCCGACAAAACCAGCTCCTTTTTACTTTTGGGAACTTCCAAAAGTAAAAAGGAGTGGGTTT